CAGAAGAGAGCGACCCTGACTAAGCTCCAGAAACACCGGTAATGGACCAGGAAGCGGCTGGAAATCTGCACAATGCTTCTCGGCGCAGACGCAGGACAAAGCCAACCTCGCAGCCCTGGGAGCTGCACCCAGGTGCTCTGCAGTTGAGCAACAATCCCCTTCACACTCTGCTCTGAGTTGAAGAGTGTCCCCCTAGACTCAAGCCCCTCCTGGAACTTCAGCATGAGGCCTTATTTGGAAACAGGGTCTTTGCAGACATTGTTAGTTCAGGAGGGACCATTCTGGACTAGGGTGAGCCCTAAATCCAATTTGACTGCTGTTCCTGTAAGAGGACAAGAGACCTGGAGACACAGACACAAGACAGACAACGTGAAGACAGACAGACAGACTCACACACAGAGAAGGTGGCCGTACAAAGCCAGAGACTGGCGGGGATTGGAGTGACTGTCCACAAGCCAAGGAACGCCGAAGACTGCCCACAGCCACCAGAAGCTAGGAAAGCATGCAACACATTCTCCCCTGGAGTCTTCAAAGACACCACACCCCAGCCGACACCTTGGCTTTGGACTTCTGGCCTCCTGAACTGTGAGAGAATAAACTTCTGCTGTCTGAAGACACCAGTTAGGCCCTGGAACCCAAAGCACTTAGGTTTCAAGGTCACGGGACTACACGAATCAAGCAGGGAGGGCCCAAGGCATAAATAAAACTCCCTTGAGCCCCCAAGGTGTTCGAGATGTGCAAGAAACAGGGGCTGTTACCTTAAGAATGTACTTCACGCCTCCGTAAATTAATTCCACATCCACAATGTTCCGGAGAGAGGCTGCGGGGAGGACCTGGCCCCTGAGAGAGAAGACAGACCTGTGGTCAGAGAGTGACTGAGAACTCTGCGGCCATCCATCCCCTGGATTTAAAAAAAAACACCCACTCTTGGCCTCTTCTAAGCACTAACACACCTGGCTGTACTGAAAAGGTTAAATCTAATCAAAAAGCAAGGAATGGACGGGAACCTGCCATCCCTCAGGATTTAAGGAAACTGCTTACTGTAGGATGGGAAATTTCAAAAGGGCTCTCCAGGAAGCAAAATGCATAAAGGCTTCTTCTCAGAAAAATTCCTTACACAGGAATCCTGCCACCTGCCTATAAATGAAACCTGCGCACGAACTGTGATTCTACTACCGTTCAAAGGCACACTAATCGGGGACTAAAACGTTCATCCTTTTATTTCCTTTTTACTTGTTTCCTTTGTCCATCACAATTTTTCAATCAGAGGTTTTTGCCTTTACCTTGGAAACATCTGGCCATATCGGGTGACATGCTTGATCGTCCTGACTCCCAGGGGGAGGAGGGGTGCTGTGGACGGGGCCAGGGATGCTGCTAACTTCCCACACTGCACAGGATGCCCCCACCGCAAAAGACGTCCCAGCCCAATATGTCAGTGGTGCTGAGGCTGGGAACCCCTGGCCCATCCTAAGAGGGAGCTCCTGACCCCTTCCCCAGGTCCATTTCACTGATCACCTACTTCACGTGAGGGTCTGGGAAAGAACCATTTGTGGAGGTGACCTATAATCAACTTTGCTTTTTTAAAAAACTTTTCATTATTATTTTTTTAACAGAGGTACTGGGGATCGAACCTAGGACCTCATGCAGGCTAAGTATGCGCTCTACCACTGAGCTATCCCCTGCCTGCTGCTTTGGTTCTTAAATCCACCTCCTCCTCCCTCAACTTCTGAGTGTTACAATGTACCTTACACAGGTCAGCATGAATAAGCACACATCTATCTGGAGGATGACCGCCGCCTTGGCCTTGAGAATCCCCTCCCCCTCTGGCCTCTTTTAGGGGTAGCCCAGGTTCATCCGAGGAATTTCAAAGGCAAGCCACGTAGGAGGGGTTCACTAATTCTTGGTGCCTGATTTGCACTCAAATACAGCAGGCTTCTGCCTTATTTGCCACCAACACGTAACCCAAGAGGGGAAAGGAAGTACCTATGAGCCCCACCTTTCCAGTGAGTGTAAGAAATCAGTCATGCAGGTTCTGAACATCGAGTCGGCCACGTTCAAGGCTCCGCACACCACCCCGAGCATGATATCTGGCTTCTCGGCCTAGGGAAGACTCTGTGCATCAGTATCCACAGTGACCAAGGCCACGGGGAGCCAGGGGTTCCCCAGGTCCCCACCTGCACTTTCTCGGCAATAAGGTGATCCAACCAGCTGGTGTCAATGTCATTGTTCTGGAAGCTCTCGGTCTCCAGGAGATTAGTGAGATATTCCACGGTGGTCCTGAAGTCACCCCGGATGGACAGTTCCTTTAAAGCCACCACCATGTTCCTGGAAGGAAAGGTACAGGATTGATTTCCCAATTAACATGTGTGTCATCAGAGTTCTGGCGGGGTTCCCAGTGAGCCGGAACAACATGGAAGGTAAAAGAGGGCCCCGAGTCAGATGGCCTGAGTCCATCTCAGCTCCAGCATTTATTGACCAAGTAAATCTTGGGCAAGTGACTTAACTGCCTGGGGCCTCAGTTTCCTCATCTGGAAAATGGGAAAATAACCCTGCCTTCACACATGTACTTGGGGCTTAAATGAGACAATCCACATAAAGCACATGGTCACTGATCAATAAACACAGCTGCTATGAAATAATGAATTACAGTGATTATGATTATTACCCATGCCAGTTGCTCTGCCTCGCTCTCCCGCTGGACCTCTCAAAATTCCCCAGCATCCCAGAGCAGGTGCCGGTCTCAGTGTGCCTGGGGTGCATCTGCAGATGGCTAACACTAGTACCCTACTCGGGGCATGGCGGTCACCAGCCCACGCATGCTTGGCTGTGACCACCTCCCATTTCTCAGAGGGGATGCCTCCCTCCCAGCAGGAGGTCCAGTCCAAAGGGCAGAAACCTCCACTCTCTATGAAATCACGGGGAGAGTGTTTTAGGGGAAACGCAGCAGACAGAGGGGGCATTAGGACGCTTCTCCTCCTGGGAGAGCACAGCTCCCACACCTGTTAGGGTGCTCCTGCGTGCCGTCAGCAGGCACGGCGAAGGGGCAATAAGACCCCGTTTTCAAAGTGAGAAAATGAGGACCCAGGGGGGTTAAACAAGGGTATTGAAAACGCTGCTGCAAGTCAGTTGTGGGACCAGAACCTGCATGTACGAGGTGAGCCACCGGCCTCACAGATGACCAACTTGTCCCCATTTGCTCAGAACTCTCCCAGTTTTGTGCTCTTGGATTTCAGCACAGGCTTTTTAAAATCCGGTCTGCTCTGTGATTCAACGCCCTTCATCTTCTAGAACGCTACTGCATCTGAAGCCACCGGCTAACTTTTAGTTTTCTTGAAGGACTGCAGGGAAGGAGGGGAGGAAGGAGGGAGGGAAGGGAGATACTGACGAGATGGCCTCTTCCCGGTTCTCTCCCCAGGAGAAGCAGTGCCCAAACTGGGAATCGGCAAATTCGTGTAAGCCACCCGCGGCGGCAACGCTGAAATAACCCCACACATTCTTGCTGCTGCGGAAATTCAGTTCCTGGACTGTTCCGGAGCTTGGCTTAAACCCCTGGAGGCCAGACAGAAAAAGCAAGGTGGAAGAAAGCATTATTCCAAACCTATTTTCATCAGAGTTAAGTCCTCGGAAAACCCAAGGGCTCCTCCCACACCCAAAAATTTGGCGCGACCAGTAAAACATCGATACTTCTCACTAGGGGTGCCGGTGTAACCGGGGGAGCACATCAATGCGTGTGATTTTTAGTTTAAAAAAACAGTTAAAGACTAACAGCCAAGCTGGGACCAGGAGAGGAGATACAGACATGATGCGGGTGAATGCTGGTCACTGATGGAGCTGAATGAAGGTACATGGTGATTTTATGTACCTGACACTGTTGACAGTAAAAGTTTAAATAAAAGCGGAGATGAGTTGAATTTCCAATTCCGGCTGATGAGAATTCCAGCAGAGAAGGAAATCGAGTGTTAGCCCTTGTTGATGCTGGCACACACCTAACTGCCCTTGTGGGGAAGGCCCTCCCCTTCTGAGAATAATTTTGGTAAGGGGAGGGCGTGGGGCTTTTGCTGGAGCTTAGAGCTCTCGAGGCGTTCGTTTTTGGCAGACTTGCCTGGTGGCCAGAGATGGAAAGTTCCAGGTGCCTAAGCTAATCCCACATGGGGTCCTCCATCCTCCCAGGCACCTGTGAACAAGCCATCAGCTCCCTGAAAATGTCCTGCCTTACTTGTCTACCACCAGAATTGGTTGTTCGCTTTCAGCCAAAGATCCCAAACTAATACAATCACCATAGTTTAAAATTCTTTCATTAAAAAGGGGATGGAGGCAGGTAGAGGGGGGCTCTGTTATCCCAAGTCTCGTGAAAGCAGTCATTAAACAACTAAACTGGGGTAGATTATGGAGATTATGCAACAATCAACTGTTAGTAAGCATGTAAACTGACAGATACTGGCTGGCTGGTATTTTAAGGCACAAGTAAGAACAAGTCACAGAGAGACTGTATTTATGTTGCAGCAAAAAGTTCATGAGGCCAGAAATCCAAGGGCTTGTGCTCTGAACTCAGCTACTCGTCCCTAAAGATGGACGTGGACTTTAAAGTCTACCCATGGGGCTTGGCCACGGCCTCAGCAGGTCCTGGGCATGGGGTGGGTCACCCCAAGCTCTCGAGCTGTAATGTGGGGTAGCAATGCCCAGCGGTGGGTTGTCACGTAACTGAGCAATGAGACGCATGAAAGCAAGTGCCTGGTACCTGGCACACCTCACAGGTGGATAAACCATGACATGTCCCTCCCTGCAACCCAGTTGCCTCAGCTATTAGCCTGGGCATCTCATCCAGGCTGATGTTCGGGGTCTGCCCACGGTGGGAGGTTGGAGATGGTGGAGGCGCAGGACCCCACAACTTGCCTCATCTGGGTTTTCGCTGGTGATTCTGGCTGCAATGACGTGGCCTCGGGCAAGGGGAGGGTTGGAAGGAGCTTCAAAAGAAATGGGCGTCACCCCCCATGGGGACTCTCCATACAGAAGCCGGATATCCTTCAGCCGGTGCAGCGGCACGCCCATGGCGATCTGAAATTTAAAAATCCATCCCATGAGATGGTCAGTCCCTGAACGCCGAGCACAGGGCCAAAGGCGATGGAGGAAAGGGTGTGGAGAGTGATTTCAGATGCTGAGCTCCTGCTGTGCACACGACAGACATCGTGCACCACGGTGGCAGGAGAGCCACAGGAAGAATGACAGACAGCGTGACTCTGCCCCCAAGGAGCAAACAGAGTCACTGGGAAGAGCCACAAGCATCAGATAAAAGTTACTGGTGCTCAGTGCTGGGAGGGGGCACGGTATCCAGCTGCAGAGTTAAAGGAGGTTTTGTGAAGGACGCAGGGAAAGCTGGGCTGGACGAATGAGTGAGTAACAATTAGGGACACTAGCTGAACCAGATGATCAAATCGAACCTGCTGCGTCTTCGGATGTGACACACTGAGAAGGACCCAACATCGCCCAAGTGTGTAAGTGCCTCTCACAGGGAAGAAACGACCGGGCAAATCCAAAGGGAGGGACGTTCTGCCTGAACACTTCACGAATGCCAACGTCAAGGACACAAAACTAAGACTCGGGGAACAGTTCCAGTTTAAAGAGACTAAGGAGACATGAAAATGGAATGGGATGTGTGGTCCTGGATTGGATCCTGGACTCAAACAAACAAACAAACAAACAAAACAAAGAGCAGCGACAAATTATTGGGACGACTGGGAAAATTTTCATGTGGACCCTGAGTAACACTGGATAAGACAGGCAGGAGACTCAAAAGTTCTATGTCCTGGGTGTACTGATTCTGCTGCAGTCTTGTTCCCAAGAGGTTCTTATATGAAGAATTAAGAGGCAAAGTGGCATGAAGTTCAAGTTAAAACATCTCTCAAGAGGTTGAGCCAAAAAAAAAAAAATTATACAAACACACAGATGGAGAGAGAGAAGGTATGGGTGTTAATTGTATGATTCTTGCTACTTTTCTGAAATTTTTCAAAGTGAAAGAAATAAGGAAACAAACTAAAAAAGAGAATAAAAGTTCTTGCAGAATTTTTAAGGAACTGAAATTAAATTTTACTAATTGATTTTAATTAAATTAAAATTTTTGTTAATTATTTTCAATTCAATCAAAATTTAATTAAAATCAAAATTTTAGAAATTTTTAAGAAAGAAAGGAAGGAAGGAGATACTAATTTTAAAAATTTAAGACTTCCCATTAATGCAAGAATTCCTAACTCTGGGTGACATGTTCTTATGGGGGTTATATTGCCCCCAAGAGGGCAAATATTTACTCTTGAGGGTGAAAAAATCTTATTCTTTCTATGCATAGGCAGACCTTGGAGATACTGGAGGTTTGGTTCCAACCCCACCATAAAGCGAATATCACAGTAAAGCAAGTCACACAAATTTTTCAGCTTCCCACTGCATATAAAAGTTACACGTATACTATACTGTCATCTATTAAGTGTGCAATAGCATTATGTCTAAAAAAACAATGCACATACATTTATTAAAAAATACTCTATGGCTAAAAAAATGCTCTCATCACCTGAGCCTTCACAGAGTCTTAATCTTTTAGCTGGTGGAAGGTTTGAAATATTGCAAGAATTAGCAAAATGTGATACAGACACGAAATGAGCAAATGCTTTTGGGAAAATGGCGCCAACAGATTTGTTTGACACAGGGTTGCCACAAACCTTCCATTTGTAAAAAAAAAATACAATAAAGCCAACTGGAATAAAACAAGGTCTGCCCGTATAAAGCACAGATATATCTATAGGACCCAAATAGATATACAGTTTATCTGTGATATTAACATTTCATGGGGGAGAAATTAGGGGGAAAATGTTTAAAGGGCTCCATGGTGGGGGGTCATAATGGAAAAAAAATGAGTATTTTTGCTTGGGTATTGAATGGGTATTGGGGGATCCACAAATGCCCTGAAATTGTATAAAATGTATTTTTCCAAGAAGACCCAAGGCTTTTTGCCAGTTTCTCCAAGGGCTATATGGCCAGACAGAAGTGACAGACAACTTCATAGAAGGTTCTCAGCCTGCGTGGCTCTCCGTGCCATCCACACATCATGACAGTCACTCGCTGGGACACCAGCCGGGAGATGGGTGGGGAGGTCTAGTCTAAGCAGCACAGGGGACCCCACTCTGGGCGGAAGGAGCCCCAGGGTTCGGAGCCCGTTTCCTTGCCTGTAGCTGGGCGGCCGGCAGGTTGACATCGGCGATCATCTCCGTGCAGGGATGTTCCACCTGCAGGCGGGGATTCAGCTCCAAGAAGTGGAAGCTGCCATCCTGGCTGTAGAGGTATTCAACCGTCCCTGCGCTCACGTAGCCCACAGTCTTGGCCAGGAGCACGGCGCACTGCAAAGAGACAGAAGCCGCGGCTTCCAGTGCTTTTCTTGGGGATCACTTACTAGTTCCCTCACCAAATGCAGCCTGAGGACCTGCTCCGTGTAAATTACTTTGGGACCTCAGCAATCTCACTCCAATACACCTGAGAGAGGCTGAAATCATCTCCGTGATGAGTGTCCCACCCCCCACCACCCCAAGGCGCCCTGGTCCCTTCTCAGACACCTACCCCACTTTGGCAACTGGGACTGTTGAGAGTTCTTGTTGGATCTGAGCTGAGGCAGCTCCCTCTGGGGTCGCCCCCCCCCCCAATCTCCTGAGCTCGCAGAGCCCACCTGCTCCATGAACTCGAACACGGCCGGCATGGCGATGGTAGCCGGCGCCTCCTCAATGATCTTCTGATGCCTCCGCTGGATGGAACAGTCACGTCCAAACAGGGACACGGCGTTCCCGTACTGGTCGGCGAGGATCTGGACCTCCAGGTGACGGGCGTGCTGGGCCAGCTTCATGAGAAAGACCGGGGAGCCTGGGATCTCGCTCTGCACCTGGGGGGACAGCAGGGCGGCTGGCTCAGGGCTGGAGCAGGAAGTTCTCAAAAGAGAGGTCGGAACAATGGCAGTGATGTCCGTGGTTTTGCTGATCCTTCAGTTTCACCTCTCCCAGAGAATTACATCCTCACTGTTTTTAAGTCAAATATTATGAAAATACATGATATAGTTAGGTAAAATTTTCCCATAACCCCGTCTTCTAAAGATAACGTGCTGTTAAGAGTTGGGTACACTTTGGTTTTCTCCGACGTGTACAGAGGGAATTTTTCTTTAAACAAAAAAAGGACCAAAACACACTACCCTGGAGCCTTCTCTCTCCCATTTAATTCACTCTCCCAGCCAGCTTTCTTCGGTGGAACCTACAGACTGACTGACTCCATACTCTTAACGGCTAAAAGGCATTGCATCATAGGCACACTGCCCAGAGATCCTTAAAAAGAAAGTAAAAGTAAGTGTTCACATGGAATGATTTCTAAGACAAAAATTTTTTTAAAGCAAGTTTGGCGGGGGTGGGTATAGCTCAGTGGTAGAGTGCGTGCTTAGCATGCCGGAGGTCCTGGGTTATATATCAGTACCTCCATTAAAAATAAACAAATGATAAATAAACCTGATTACTGCCTCCCAAAATATAACATAAAAGCAAGTTTGTAATAATATACGGTATGATGCCACTTACGTGAAAAACAATAGAACAGAATTGAGTGAAATGTCTGTGTAAAAGTATGTATTACAGTAAAAATAGTGGAAAGAAACCCAATTGCTAACAGAGGTTACATCTGAGAAGGAAGGTGGGGTTGAGCGGTGACATTGTGAAAAGGGGCCTTTCCTTTTTCACTCCTAACATATCACTGAATTGTCTGAATGTTGACATTGAGAACGTTTTCATATTGCATTCATGTAATTAAGAAAAGCAAGCCAGGAGGAGGCTGTGCGTGGGGGGCAGGGCAGGTATATGGAACTCTGTCCTTTCCACTCAATTTTGCTGTGAATTAAAAACTGTTCTAAAAAGTAAAGACCGTTTTTTAAAAAGAAGGAGGAAGCTTCTACCTGTACAAACTCTAAATACAAGGCAGGGTCCAGGACTGGATCCTGAAACAGAAAAGAGGACAGTAGTGGGGAGAACTTGGGAGATCTGAATCAGGTCTGGAGTTCCTCACTTAGTTGTGTCAATCGTGGCGCAAGTTAACAAGAGGGGAAACAGGCAAAACATAAATGGGAAGTCTGTACTGCTGTTGCAACTTTTCTGAAAATATAAATTTCCACCCCCAAAATACCCCCAAACTGGCATGCCCCAATGGGGACATGTGCAGTGAAACCACTGCTTTATGTAACATTCACATGTCGCCCACGCCATACAATTGGCAAACCTTTTCAGTAAGTAATTTACTGGTAAGTATTTGTAAGTGCATTAAGTGCATGCTATTTAACCAAGTCCTTCTTCTCCCCCTAGTTTTTACCAAAGAAAATAATTTCGGAAGAAGAAAAAAAAGGCTAAATATTATTTATAGTATTAAATGCCATATTATACTGCAGTGGCATTACTCATAATAATGAAAATAGAAGCAAGCTTAACATTTAACATAAAAGGAAAGTTTTGATAAATAGGACTATAGCCACATCAAGAATACTGTACCACCATCATCAAAATAACTATAAGGACTGGAACATGGTAAAAAAAAATGTTCATTATCTACAATTTAGAATTTTTTTAACATAGAACAAAATATCGTGTAGGTTGAATACAACTCTTTAAAATACCCATATGAGCACAGTCTAGAGGAAAACCTAGAAATATTAAAATAGTTGGGTTAAGAAAAGGAAAATTGTTCAGTATGAATCTTTATAAACATTGCCAACAAGGGGCATAATGTTTTAAAAGTGGAAAACCGGCTACAAATAAGTAAATATAAGATTACTTCCCACAATTAAAAAAACCTATCATCTAGAAATATTAAAAATACCAAAACTGCTAAAATGTACAAAATATCCCATCTCTGGATAGATAAATAAAGTCACAAAAAGATATTCTGAACCTACAGCTCTGAAATCATTTATAGACACACTGATTCATAGAATCAAACATCCAAGGAAATCACATACAGATTAACACAAACCATGGACTTCTGAGAGTGAAAACGTACACATTTGCTTTGCAACACAACACAGGAACCTTCTAGCTCCCACAAATGTCCTCTTGATTGTGACACAATAATGTTAGTGGAGAGAATATGGTGGCCAACAACTGAACAAACACCACTCCCAGAGACACACGGAGAAATACACAGAGATAAACAACAAGGTCCTATTGTACAGCACAGAGAGCTATAGTCAATGTCTTGTAATAATCTATAATGGAAAAGAGTATATAATATATAGATGTGTAACTGAATCACTATGCTGTACACCAGACACTAACACAACATTGTAAATCAACTGTAATTCCCTAAAAGCAAATAAACAAACGGTAGGAAAAAAACGTATAAAAATGAAAAAAAGAAATTTTTTTTTTTGACTTTTTCTTTTTTGTGGGGGGAAGTAATTAGGTTTACTCATTTTTTAAATACTGGGGATTGAACCCAGGACCTCATGCATGCTAAGCATGCACTCTACCACTGAGCTATAGCCTCCCCACCAAAAATTTATTTTTTAATTTCAAAAAAAAAAAAACAACAAAAAACCCAACACACAGCCCGAACAGCTCACTTGTCTGAAAAGGATGGGGAAGTCCTCTGCACTCTCCGCCTTTCGGATTCCTTTCCCTCCACCTCCTTCAGAAGCTTTGATCATCAAGGGAAAACCAATTTTTTCTGCTGCCTGGGGGCAAAGGACAGACAGACATCTTCAGAGGTTGGACAGTTTCCGCCACTACCAGGACGGTGAGAAGGTTCTGGCACCTGGGCCCCCTAGGATCTGCATTTACCTCCAAGCCCTCGTCTACGTCTCTCACGCAACCCTGGTCGTAAATGTCCTCGGGGATGCTAATTCTTTGCCCTTGCAGCAGGGCGTCCTCCGCCCACTCCACCGTCAGACCTGGAGGGTCACAGAGGAAACTAGTAGTTTCATCATTTTCTAGTGAAAATGTATTTGTAACCCCTTAGAAGCAATATGGCAATGTACGTTAAAAGTGGAAAGTATTTTTACCTCTTGAACTTAAGAAATAAAAATATTTATAAACAAACAAAAAATTGCATTTTCCTAAGAGCAGCACAGACACAATCCAGAAACCACATTATTATGTAACATATAATAATGCCTGATCAAGTGTTGGGTTTAAACCACGGTATTAAAATAAAACTATAAATATATTTATTTACATGAAAAAAAAATGGTGTGGCCTTATCAGAAAGGTTTCTCACCGAAGTCACTCTAGACCCGGACTCTGGACCAAGAGAATACAGATATGGTCCTTGAACTTCCCACGGTGGATTTTAATTTCCTTAAGGATGACTCAATCCTGAATGGGAAATTAAGCTTAAGAGAATTCAGACCGAGTCTACCAAGAACAGCCAGGTTAACCGGAATCCACCCAAAATCCTGACTCTACCCTATGGAGTCATTTGCACGTGAATCATTACTTTCCAAAACCCGGTGAAGATTTTTTTAAAGATAACAAAAACAAACTTTTCACTCAAAATTTAAAATTCAGTCTTTGGAGGAAAAAAAAAATCAAATTGAATAGGAAACTCGAGACGTTTTCCTGTTTATTTATTTATTTATTTATTTATTAAAAAATTTTTTTAAATATTTTTTTGAGGGGGGGAGGTAATTAGGTTTATTTATTTTATCTTTTTAGAGGAGGTACTGGGGATTGAACCCAGGGCCTTGTGCATGCTAAGCATGTGCTCTACCACTTGAGCTATCCCCTCCCCCTCCTGTTTATTTTTTTAAATTTATTCTAGCAATTCCACTTTTAGGAATTTGGCCTAAGGAAATGATTAAAATGTACATAGAGATTCAGCCACAAGATTATCAAGGCTTTTAATATTTTCAAAATTAGAAAAAAATCAATTGGACACAACCTCAATATACAATCATAGGGGGCTGTTAAGTAAATTATAGTACATCTGTATAATACCCTATGCAGGCATTTTAAATGTCGTTAAGTGTATTTATTCACATAGAAACATTAGTGAGGAAAAAAAATAAGTCACTATTAAACATAAGATCTCTGGGTTTTTAAAGGATATGCCTAGAAAAAAAAGACTGGAACAATAGAACAAATGATCAAAACCGGGTCACTGGGATATAAATGATTTCTATTTCTTTTTTTGTACTTCTCATATTTTCTAAATTGTCTGCAGTGAAACTGTACCATTTTCCTGATGATTTAAATTGTTTAAATGAGAGACCTTAAAAAGCATCCGCCTGTCACCCTCTCTGCTCACATATAGTAATAAGTCAGGGCCCAGGAGCCCCCTCAAAGGAAAGTTCAGGGCCCCTTACCACTTCCGCTCCAGGGGAGCGTTGGGACCTTCAGCGTCTGGGCCACGATGGTGGAGGCGATCTTGTCTCCCATGGCCCACATGGCCTCACTGGGAGGGCCTGAGGGATCGGGGACAAGGGGGAAGACAGAATCAAGTCAGCACAAGATTGTGGACGCTGGGTGCCAACCAAGTACACAAAGAAAAGTACCCGGGTCCCAGCTTTCAAGGAGTTTAACATCAAGTCAGGGAAGAAAAAAAAAAATCTGTTACTCTGCTACTTCATCGGTCAACTTTCAACACATGTGGATTGTAAACCTGGTATGAGTTACGACCTCAGCTATGTTGCATACGCAGAATTCACTAGCAAAAAGCTAGACCAAGGGGGCAAGCCAAGACCTCAAAATGCTAGACCATGGGTTAACAAACTTTTTCTGTAATGAGCCAGAGACAATACATAAGTGAATGGGCAGGACTGTGTTTCAATAAAACTTTATTTAAAAGCAGGCAGCAGACCAGATTTGGCCTATGGGCTGTAGTTGGCTGGCTCTGGAGCTGGACCATCAACCTCTAGAGTTAAAAATGAGAGACAACGAGAGTCTCATGTGGCAGCCAATGAGAGGCCGTGGACCAAGAACACATCAGCAAGCTCAGGTCACCAGGCAGACCCTCAGGTGAGTATCAGGTATTGATTCTGCACCGAGCTACTTTATACACAAGCCAGCGCTGTGGGCCCAGAGGCAAGGAGCAGCAACAGGGACTTTGGGGGGGATGGTAAATGATCACATGCACGGATGACAGACGGCATAACTGAGCAAAGCATACAGATACAAATACGAATCCTAAATAAACAGATGCCATAGACAATAGGTATCATTTCACCTAATAACTAGTTGAGATGGGAGATTCTGGTCTCAAGGAGGGAGGACATTCCAAAGGCCTGAGAACAGCCCAAGCAATGGTGTGGCCTTATCAGAAAGGTTTCCAAACCGACTTAGAAATCTGAACATGACTGATATCTTAGTACCCAATGGAACACCTGCAGAGGCTTCTGCTGGCCCCAGCATCATTCTGCTGTGGTAACCATGGTAACAGCTCCTACTTCCCTATCCTGGCCAACTTACCCCTGTGCCCTCCCACCCCTGGACTCGCTTGCTCCTGACCATAAAGGCATGATGTGGGAATATCAAACTGGCCCCCTCTTTACAGGGCCATAGCAGCATGAATCTGACCCACAGAGCATCTCATCAACACCCCAACTCCCACGTATCTGACAGAGACACACTCTACCTAAGAAAGCAATCTCGTGCTTGTGCAGGAGCTCCGGAAGTTTGGGGTTTTCAGAAGCGTGGCCCCAGCCAGCCCACACCGCCTGCAGATACAGAGAAGCATGAACGAAGGTCTTCCTTCAAGAACCCACCTCCCATCACTGCCCAAAAGCTCTTCGCTGGGTCATATCAGTGTGGACTTCAGAGTCTCATAGGACCTGGCTCCTCCGTCCCTTCCAAACTGCAGAATCGGGTTGCTCCAGAGCTCAGAGCATCATCTCCCCCAAGGGCAGACTGAGGCACCCCATCCGACTACCTGCACGGGGATTCTCTTGGCAATGTCCACAATCAGCTCCACGTTGGCGTAATTGTTGTTGTTGGGCCCTCCTGGGACGGGGACATACTGATCTGCCATCTTGATATACTCTGGAATGAATCAGGAGAGAAAAGGGAGGAATGATTGAGAGACCAAAATCAAGGTCAGGACATCTGCAGGACACAACCACAGGGCCACTGAAAGGATAACCATGAAGACTCTAGGGCAACCATGGACAAACATATATGGTAGTTTGAAGAAAACAAAGACACCAAGAAAGACACGAATCTGCTGTAACATGGACGTTTCTCAAAGGTGAGATGTTCATTTTGCATGTAAACTATTAGCATTTTTATAAGGCACATGGGTCGCTCTTGTTATCAGCAGATATTTTAATTCAATAAAGAAGAAAGGGGAAATAAATACGGGCTCAGGAGAGGTACTCCGGACTCTGTCTGGGGTCCAGGCTGAACCTGGGCCAAGTGGGATGGAGGCGGGGAGGGCAGGTATGAACAGAGGAGGCAGAAGGGGAGGGGGTCAGGGCCCAAGTACCTGCGTTGGCCTTGAGGTCCTCGGGGGTCACCATGACTACAAACCGGATGGCCCGCTCGTTTCGGAACATCTCGTAGGCCCACCTGCGGATGGAGCGCATGCACTTCACAGCGGCAATGCCATTGTTGGCGATGAGCACCTGGACAGGGGAACATGAGGAAGGGGCCAGAGCTGCACATCTACCTGTACTGGAGGCTGCGTGCTACTCCCGGGTTCATCTCACCTCTACGAGCCTCCGACGGTACCTCTTTGAATTTCTACGGCACTCAGCCCAGCACGAAGCAGGTACTCAAAGTCTGGTGCTGCGTAAACGGATGATGCAATGGATGGATGGATGGATGATCAAATGGATGATGGGATGGATGAATGGAAGGATGGATGGTCTAATGGAAGATCATATGGATGGATGGATGGATGGAAGCTCAAATGAATGATGGATGGATGGATGGATGCTCGAATGGATGACGGATGGATGGATGGATGATTTCTGAGTGCCTGTTTGGCACCTTCATGATCACATAACATTTTCTGAGTGTATATATATCAAGTTACAGTACAATGTATTTCACCAACATTATTTCATTTCATCCTCACAAACAGCTCTTTGAAAGAGATTGTATTATTATCCCTATTTGGGGTTTAAGATGTTAAAACTCAGAGGAGTTAAGATAGTTGCCCAAGGTCACAAAGCTATTAAGTGGCAGAGCTGGGACTCATTAGCCCTCCACATGTGCTCTGAACTGACCCATGTGGCTGCCTCTGCATCCAGAACGTTAAAGGTCCTAGTTTGGGGAAGGAGAAAAGGCAGTAATGCTGGTTGTCCCCAGCAACAGAAGGGGTCCTGGTTTCAATTCTCATTGTGTCCTGAACTTGCTGTGTAGCGTTAAGCAGATTCCTTCCCTCTCTGAGCTTCATCTTCACATGAGGGGCTCAGACCGGCTAACCTCCCAGCTTGGTCTCTAAGAAATAAAACTAAGTTCTAGCTTTCTTGCTGAAAAAAAAATTAGGTATATGGCTTCAAAGCTCCAACTTCTAGAGCAAGTCCATAATTTTAAGGCCCTTCTATCACTGACTGATCTCCATGGCAGCCCTAAAGGACAAGTCTTATTAAAGATTTGGGATGTGCTCGCTTCTACTTTACAGAAGGGGACTCTGAGCCCAGTGTCACATCCCAAGAGCGGTCACAGCAGATTTAGCATTATTTCTCCCCTTCCAAAAATGTCCCCCTAGGGAGTGATGACAGACGGCCGGGCTCCAGCCTTGTCAGCCTTATTACCAGAGCAAGGCTGGGTCAAGAGGGAAGGGATACAGTGACCTCAGGATGGCCCAGTTTCCCTGGGCCCCATTTGTTCCAGCACATTCTGCCAGCCCCACAGAGGAGACAGCTGCTGCAGGCCAGCTTGCTGCTCTAGTCCCCACAGCTGCGGCTTCCCCACGAGCGGTCCAGGAGAGGGGACAGGCCACCCTGCAGCAGCTTCGGGCTCAGGCCTTCTGGGACCACGCCAGCCTCTCAGCTCCTGAGGACTGAACATGACCACCAGCAGGGCTGATGCAACCCGGTCCCCTGGAGGGTGTGACAAACATACAGCTCCTGGATCCTCACCTGGGAGATTCTAACTCCGAGAGTCTGGGGTGGGTTGAGGGTGGATGATGTGTATTTTCAGCCAGCGAGACCAGTTGCAACTGGGTTTGGGAGCCTGTATGAGATGCTGTACTTATGATGCTGCAGTGTGGGCATGGCCTCGGGGTTCAAATCCCAGCTCCGCCACTGACCCGCCGTGAGACCCAGGCAAGCCACTTCCCTCATCTGGGCCTCGGTTTCCTCCTCTGTAAAATGATACCCACTGACAGGGCTGTGGGGATGGTTAAATGAGATGCGCTGACGTAAAGCAGTCAACAGGATGCCTCGCCCAGAGTAGACCCTCAATTAGCTGCAGCCCCTGCTGTTATTATTATTATTATTATTATTATTATTATTATTACTGCTGCTGCTGCTGCTGCTGCTGCTGCTGCTACTACCCTCAAGTAAAATGGGAAAGAAAAAGGTCTTTCGGTCTAACTGACCTGCGTTCAAATCCCAACTCCAGCACTTAACTACCTACGTCACTTTGTATCACTTTGGGTCACTTTGGATCACTCTGGACAGCCAAGGTCAGATCTCTGAGCCTTAGCTTCACCATGAACACGACAGGAATGACCGAACAGCACGTGGTCAGGGCCTTCACCAGGTGGAACGGGAAACAATGTGAAAAGTCTTTATAAATGGCCTACATCGGCTGTTTCCTTTGGTCACTGTTATTCCGGTACCCGAGTCTGCCCTCCTGTAAGGGGCTGTATGCCTCGGAAGGGCAGGGCTGGGTTTTCAGCTCCCCTCCCAGGAACCTAGAAAGTCGCCCCCTGCATGAAGCTCCCCCCACCCCAGGGTTTTGGGAGGGGGCTCCCGACCTTGCTCAGCATCCCGTCTCCTCCTCTGTGGCACGGGGTCATGCACCTGCCGCTTTAGGCTGTCGTGAGGGTGAAAGCTGATGAAATCCGGCCCCCCCCAAGAGGCGAAGGGGAGGGCCTTTCTCTGAAGCCTGAAGCTGGTTCACGCACCCCACCCCACCCTGGGTGCTCGGACCCCCGTCCGTACCTTCTCGATGACCCGATCCCCTCCAAAGCGCGTGACGAACTCGGCTGGGGAAGCCACAGTGAAGTCTCTGTGCAGGTCCAGCCTCTTCTGTTCCCGGCCTCTTCTTACCAGGTGGAGCCCTGACATGCTGGACCTGCGAGGAAACAGGTCAGACCCCGTGAGCGAGCAAGTCCGGAACGCTCCAGAAGGGGGTCGGGTGCCTGGCACCTGTGAAATCCACATGGACGGAGAAGCCAAAGCCCATCAGACCCCTGCTGCCTTGCAGGCCCTCTCCAGGGACCCTGAAGCAATCTGCAAGGAGACTCCAGAGGCCAGACCACAAATAAAGCAGCAGCGACCCCCTGACCTGCCCCAAGCTGTAAATTTTGATATTTAATCTTAAATTCATTCTTTATATAAATTCATTCATTTAGGAACTCAGACAATACAAAAATCCTTATAACAGGAGTGCAAGTTTATGATCAGGGAGGAAACCCACACATTCTAATACTTAACATTTGTTGAACCATATTGTATCTTTCACTCACTTTTCCATACGTGTACCAATTTCCTTCTAAAAACTGAAAGCAAACAAAAAAAGGGTATAACAGCAAAATAGAAGTTCCTTGCCCCATCCTCCCTCCGGAAGCCCACCCCAGAGGAAATCATGTTTGACTTTCTGCGTGAACACATCTCCACAGTTCTGCATCATATGTGTATATTATCTTGCGAGTCATCTATTTAAGACGCCATCCATCTATGAGCTTCTTATCTTGACAGATGTGGAATTAGTACTCTTACGTGGCCATCCCTTCTGCTTCCCTTTCCCCGATCTCTCAATACAGGTATACTGCAATTTGAAATTCAGTATTCGGTGTTTTAGGAGTCATTGTTCAAAAGCAAGGGTTGTGGTTTACCAGATGTTCCATTCTTTTTGCCTTCTTCCACCCCCCCCGGAGTTAATTTTTTTTTTTTCACTGACTTGGGTTTCCTCACATCTGTTGCTCATTCATCCCACTCCTCAGCCTCCTAGCACACGTAAAATAACTGACCGGTTCCATTATTATCTCCATCGGCAACATCCCTCTTGTCTCCTCTCATTCGGACACCATTCTCTAAAACCCCTACACAACCACCAACTGGGACTTCCCTTTGCTGACACCCTTAGGACTCCCCTTCCCTTTTCTCAAAGCTTAATCCCAAATTTAGGAGATCACAGGGCTCCCTCTCTCTTGGTGGACTCCCTTGTTTTGCTGGGATGTATCCTCCAGTCATTTCATCCAGTTAAAAAGATGGTACAAAGACATGGCGCACGACAATGATGCCCTCAACATGTCTGGCTTGGGTTCCCTTACCACCATCACCCTGGAGGTTCCCTTTGATTCTCTTGGGTCTGTTTGCTGCCTCCCATGAGCTGGTCTTCTTTGGCTTACTCTCTTGTTTCAGGGGAAGACATCCTTCAGTGGCTTTCTTAAAAAAAAAAAGGCGTTCAGGGGAGTAAATGTTTTGTGGCTTTGCAGGTTCTAAAAACTGTCTTCCTTCTGCCCTCACATTGGACCCGGCCATCTGGCTGTGCATGGAATTCTAGGAGGGAAAACCTTAAAGAGTTCCGGAAGCCTTGTGTCATTGTGTTGTGGCTTCCAAGAATGCTAGAACCAGAGCCATGCTGATCCTTGATCCTTTGTAGGTGATCTGTTTTGTCATATCCAGAAACTTAGAGGATCTTGTCTTTCCTTCTACAGTTTTAAGGGATGTTCTGAGGTATGTGTCTACTTCCATCAGTAAGACTGGGAATTTGTCAGACTCCTTCAGTTTGGAAACTCAGATCTTGGAATTTATCTTCAAATATTTCCTTGGTGATTTCTCTGACTCTTCTTTTCTTTCCCCCTCCATTCTCTCCAGAAGTCTATTATCTGGATATTGAAATTCCTGGGCTGGTCCACTAGTTTATGTATTTTTCCCCTCTCCTATTTTCTGTCTCCTTACTTCTATCTTCTGGGCGATTTCCTCAGCCTTATCTCCACTTCAGTGGAGTTTTTCCACTTCGAATACCATGTTTTTTAATGTCCAAGAGCTTGGTTTTGGTCTGCAGATGTTCCCTTCTCTGTGCATTCTGTTCCTACATGTACAGCGTTGTCCTTCCCCTGATGAGGGGATTTATGATAGCTTTTCCAAATTCTCTTCTCCTGACACGGGTTCTGTTTCTCCCACGCTTTCTGTGTCCCCTCTTTGTCTGGGGCCTGCCTTTCATCCTAGAAGTTGCACCCAAATGTTTGGTAAGCCTCGGTTGCTTCTTCGTGACCAACAGTGGGAACTGGAGGGCTAATGAGCAGTACTGAGCATGTGGTGAGGCCACTGGACCCTGAGCAGTGTGACCTGGGAGGGCTGTGTGTTGGGGAACCCCAAGTATCTTTAGAGTTGTCCTCCCTGGCTGGTCCAACTCCCCCAGTGAGAAGTCTTTGGGTCTTCTGCCTGGAGGATGAAGGATGGCCAGGAGCCTGGGGGCAGGGGAAGAGGACGGGGAACTACTGAGACAGGTCTGGGGGCAGGGCAGCTTTCAGGATTCAGCACTTAGACACCACCCATCTTCTTCTTTGGGATACAGGCCCCACACCTTCCGCTGTGCCCATCAGTCCCCAGTCCAAAGACCCTCTGTTTTTCCCAACCTGGAGAACGAACACTCTGCCTTCTACTGGGGTGGAAGTGGGCATCCCCCAGCCACGTGGAGCAGATGAGGGGATCAGGACTGTTTCACCCAGTCCTTCTCACATTGGTACCCCAGCCGCAGAGGCATCCAATGCTGCCAATCTCTGCTTTTTAGGGGATACAGATCCAGGAGGTTCTCAGCTTCCCTTGCTGCTTCCTTACAACTTGACCCTCTTGGTTCTGCTAAGCCAGTGGCTTCCTGTTCATCTGCTTTCTGGCTTCCAAAAGGTCATTGCTAATCACCACTCTGCCAGGCCTGATGGGGTTTCTGGCTCTTTAAGAAAAATCTCTTTGCTGTCATTTGGCGGGGTTTGGACAGGAACAGAGTCAGATATGCACATTCAGTCCACTCTCTTAACCTGGCAATGGGCTATTCAAGCTGGGAGATAGCTGCCTGCGAGGCATTAAGTTGGAGGGTCACCACTCAGAGGGGTGTCACCAGGCATCTTGGGAGGCCAGGGATGAGTGGGTTCAGGGGGCCAAAAGTTTTGGTGAAAAACTGAACACTGCCAGCACGCCACTGTGAACCAGGAACTGCAAAGCTGGAAGCCAGTAAGCCATTGAAGAGACAAATTCCATTTTACAGATGGGCAAACTGAGGCCCAGCCAGACAAAGGGAATCACCCAGCAAGTCGGCAGGACTGCGGCAATTTCTATCACACTGGACTTTCTCTTTCACCCATTAAGTCAGCAGGACTGGGGCTTTCTGTCACATTAGATGTTGGGTGTCGGTATTTTCTGCTATATGAAGTCTGCATCCGGTATAGTTCCCCACAGGAAAAAGCTTCTAGAAATCTGCCATCTGTTCCCCTTGCCCTAGTAGTCACTGCCTATCAGAAATGAAAAATCAAGACTCCTAGGCCAGGGAACAATACCAGAAATGAATGACAGAAAGCCATCGTGATGATACGCCGTAACAGGGTATGTATTTTCAATTCAGACTTTCTCCATTCAGCTGGGCTTACACACGCTGCCCCAAAGGGTGAACAAATGAACAAAGGATTTCTGGCCCTTGAGATGGCCTCCTTGCCTCCCATAAATTGCAAGTAGCTTTTCTTTTAAGACCTCCGAGGACTGAACTGCAGAAACACAACAGGACTTAGGAAAGTACTCACATCTTACTAACGTGAACAGTGCTTTTATCGTTAATTACATTCTGTTAACCAGCAAGCAGTTCAGTTTAAGAATTTTATGTATTTAGAAAACAGGCAGCTTCGGCTTGAGGGCCATAATTTGCAGACCCCTGATCCAGGGAAATAGATACCAAGATGTTAATACCAGTTTTTCTCAAAGTGGTTGGATTATGGGTGGTTTTTGTTTTCTTCTATTCTGCTATATTTGTTAAACTTTCTGCTATGATATATGATCTTCAGTAAGAAGAAAAAGCTATTAATTTTGTAATAGGGATGCCGAAAGCCATGGCCATTTTGGTGTCTACTGGGTAAGGCGCTCAGTACCCTCAACTAAATAAAATAAAGACAATAACATGTACCTTATTGGATTGTGAGGATTAAATACGTGTATATACAGAAAGTAAAGATGACATTTGGCACACGGTAAACTCTATATTACTTCAGTGCAGTGATGCCCAGAGGATCAGGGGCTGCTGATCTAACCAAGAAAGGCCACTCCTCTGCCCAGGGTCTCCTTCCCAACCACCCACTCTTCCACTCTGTCCATGGCCTTCTCCAACCGGCTGGCTTGATCTTTTGGTTTCAAAAGTCGCAGACGTTCCATTTTTAGATACACAACATTAAAAGTCTTGGCCATTTGACCTAAAGCGCAACAAAGAAAAACTCAACCATCAGAAAACACTGTTCTGTGGCCTGGGAAAAATATTCATGGTCGCCGTCTTGATTTCAAAACTGGTGTCACAGCCCCGCCACCTGCCGGGTCGCAAACCTGTCACAGCAAAGTAGGTGGGTGAACACATAATGCTGCTGGTGTGACTACTTCAGGGTCAGTCTCCAGGCTAATGGTTATTTTTATCCATTTCTGGCAAAGTTGGAGGCCAATCAACATTGGCTCTGGAGGGCTGACCTTTGGCTGGTATTTGTTTCAAGGACAGTGTGGAGACTGACCTATTCCATGGTGACTTTGGAAACGGCTTTCAGGTGCAGTCAACTACGCAACAGGGCTGTCAGCCAAACGCCAAATACTGCCAGCTGCCCAGGCACAAGACTAGGCAGAATTGCACTGGGAAGGAAGGAATAAACATCCTCAACTGTCACCATAGACTGGGCACAGGTGGATCTTTGCTGAATCCCCAAAGCCTTATGCGGGTGAGGTCCTCATCTGAGGCTCCCGATGAAGAAACCGAGGTTCAGAGAGGACCACTGACCTCAAGTCATACAGCTGGCAGTGGCAGAGCTGGGCTTCCAATCCAACTCTCTCTGACCCCTAGAATCTAATTCTGAGGCAGAAAGCTATCTGAGATAAATGGAAGTA